AAAAAAGGAAAAAATGATTCTAGGGAGATGGTGGAGAGTTCAAATCTGTTAAGAATGAAAAGACCATACAGCAGTTGTAAGATTTATGAATTGGGAAATTGGGATTATTCCCTTCTTTAATGAAAGCGTGCATGACTGTTCAGGAGTAGTTACCATGCAGCAGAGGGTACCACCTCGGAGCCTCATGCTAGGAGGTGAGGGAGTGAATGGTCATGTTATAAAATACCCTGCACCGAACTAGAGCTAATAAATTCCCCAAAATCATCATGGTACCTACTGAGGTCATTTATGAAGGTAGAGAAACCTAGATAACTATTATTTTATTTAAAGACCATACTAAAGTGAATGTAAATAGATTTTAAATGTCTTAGTAATAACAGCAGTAATGGCTCCAGTTTATTGACTGCTAGAAATTTCAAGATTTCCACTGTTATGTTCAAAACAATGCAAATTTATCTTAATGTTTTGTTTTATCTTATTTTGGTAGCATTTTTGTACTTTGATTTTGCATTAAATTTTGAGATGAAAGAGCGACAATACAAAGCGCAGTAAATGAAGTTGACAAAGTCATAATATTATGAAAAGACTCAAATCTGTAACACCTTGTGAGACAAGACAGTGACAGCTACTCAGGTGCATCTTATATCTCAAAGTGATGCTCAGTTTTAAATTACTCACTGTTCACTAGGCTCTAGCCTAAGCTCTTTCAACCTGGCTGCACTTTTGAGCTTGCTTTCTCTTGTCATATTCTAACATAACTGAAAAGGAAATTAAATTCTTGTTGCTTTTATTTTTTACTTCTTCATTTCTCCTATGGAGTAAGTAGTTGATCTTGTCAAATGAGTAAACTTAGACATAGTACTCCTTTTTCTTTTTCTTTGTTTTTGGTGGTGGGGGCCAGTACTGGAGTTTGAATCCAGGGCCTCACACATGCTAGGCGAGTGCTGTACCATTGAACTACATTCCCAGTCCTTTTTATTTTTCGAGACAGGTTCTCACTGTATTACTCAGGCTGGGCTTGAACTTGTGATCCTTTCGTCTCAGCCTCCATGCACCTGGGAATATAGGTGTGTGCCACTAAGCCCAGCTTCATACCCTTTTTTTTAGTGATATATATTTGAGGTGATAAATATGCCAATTACCCTATCAGATCATTACACATTGTGTACATGTATTGAAATGTCATACTACGCCACATAATATATACAATTGCTGTGCGTCAGTTAAAAATAAAAACAAGCATACCTGTAGCCCAGTACTTGGGAAGCAGAGGTAGAAGCATTATGAGCTCAAGGACAGCGTGGGCTACATAGCAAGTTAAAGGCTAGCCTAGACTATATATAGTGAGAACCTGTCTGTGAATAAACAGACAAAATAAAAATAAACAATAACAAATCTTTCTTTCTCATTAAACCTTAAATTTTATCATTCATAAAAAAAATTTATCATTCATTCATCCTTCAGCAAATAAGCATTGGGTGTCTACTGTTTTTTCAGTAGTGTCATGTAGTAGCTATACAGTACTGTCATGGATTAAGCTGATACTTCCTTTGCTTTGTGGTGCTCACCCTAGAATGGGAAACAGTAAAATTAATATTGCAGCTCTCTCTATAACACTCCCTGTATTTTTTACTTAATTTTTCTACATAGCACTTACCAACATCTAATATTTTGTGTTTAAGCCAGTGTGGTGGAATATGCCTATAATCACAGCTACTTGGGAGGGGGAGGCAGAAGGATCACAGGTTCCAGACCAGCCTGAGCAACTCAATGAGACCCTGTTGTCAGAAAAAAAAAATTTTTTTTTTGGTACTATGGATTGAACTCAGAACCTTGCGCTTGTGAGGCAGGCAGCTACACCACTAAGCTAAATCCCCGGCCCATTGTCAAAACATTTTTTAAAGGGCTAGGAATGTAGTTGGGTGCAAAGTTCCTGGGTTCAATCCTTAGTCTCCACCCCCATCCATGTATTGTTTTATCTTTGTTTGATGTTACTTTCTTAATCTCTTTGGGTTACTATAACAAAATATCATAAACAAAGTAGTTTATGAAAAAAACAGGGCCGGAGGATTAGCTCAGTGGTTTCATCGCCTGCTGTGCAAGCGCAAGGACACAAGTTCGATCCCCGGTACCAAAAAAACCCCCCAAACTTCTATTTCTCACAGGGAGGCTGGGGAGTCTATGACCCAAGGTGCTGGCAGATTCAGTGTGTGGTGAGGGCCGTTTTCTGGTTCATAGATCGTGCCTTCTTGCTATGTGCTCATATGGTAGATGTGACAAGGCAGCTCTCTGGGGTCTTTTATAAGGATGCTGAGCCCATGCATGAGGGCTCTGGCCTCAAGGCCAAATCCTCACCCACATTCCTAATTATTTTTTTTTCTGGTACTGGGAATTGAACTTAGGACCTTGTGCTTGCCAGACAGGCATGGCACCACTGAGCTAAACCCTTGGCCCCCAAATTCCTAATTCTGTCGCATTCTGTCAATGTAGGGATTTGGGGGGCAGGACCACATTTGGACCATAGTGTTTACCCAGAGAACATTAGCTGCATGAGGTAAGGAATATTTTGTCTAAGGAGTATTTGTTGGTTGAGAAGTGAGGGAGATACACAGTCACCATGTGCCCTTCATTCTGCTTTTTTAGCCTGTCTTAACTCCACTGCTACTTCATTATTTTAGGCATTTAATTTTTTTTTTTCTTTTTTGTATCTGCCTGGTATACTTTTCCCCCCAGTACTGAGGATTGAACTTAGGGCTTTTGAACGGAGCTATATCTCCATCCCTTTTTACACTTTTTGAGACAGGGTCTTTAAATTGCCCAGGCTGAGCTCAAACTTGCAGTCCTTCTGTCTCAGCCTTGTAGAGTCCTGGGACTTACAGGAGTGTGCTCCATGTTTGCCTGCCTGTCTGTGAAGCTTCCTAGCAGTTTCTCTGTCCTCTCACCCCATTCTCTGCTGTTCCCTGCGCCCATCTCAAACTTCATGCTGCAGTACCAGTATTTGGCAAATATATTGCCCTTCCTCAGGTTTTTTTTTCAGTATGGTCCTAGACATCAGCATAACTTGGAACCTAGTTAGAAATACGAATTCTTAGCTCTACCCAAGGCCTGCTGAGTTAGAAACTCTGGGGGTAGGATTTAGCAAGATTAACAAACCTCCCAGGAGATTTAGATATACTATATTTTAAACTTGAGAACCACTGCCTTAAATCTTTTCAAGCTCATTTCCTTAAGTCAATCATTAATCACCACGCTTTCAAAATTACTTTTATTGTATGACTCTTTGTCCAGCTCTCTAACCTTGATCTGTCAGTCCTTTTTAAATTATGCATTGGATTCAGTCTTATTTATCCTCCCAGTCCTTCATACTTTTGTAGGTGCTAAACAAGATTCATGATCCCTTTCCTGAAATCCATTTTACATACTGTTGCCTATTTCCTCCCAGCAGTGCAACTTTGAATATTAGATTGTGCAGTGTTTTCTCATTATTTTTTTTGTTTTATCTTGATGTAGAGGAGCAAAACAGCAGCAAAAGATTAAAACAGAATACTGTCCATGAGTTTGATGCCCAGTACCGGGAAAAAGAAAAAAAAAGAATACTGTCCAAAATAGGATAAAGATTTTCTGGGAAATAAACTTACCATTGTTAATATACCATATATTAAAATTAAGTTGGGGCCGGGGATTTAGCTCAGTGTTTTTGCTGCCTGCTGCTCAAGCTCAAGGACCTGAGTTCAATCCTTGGTACCCCACCCCCCCAAAATAAATAAAACTAAGTTTTTCTTATTCTTCTTTGTCTTCCCTCCCTGACCTTCAATCTCCTTACCTTTCTTATTCTTTTTTTTTTTTTTTTTTATGGTACCGGGGATAGAGCTCAGGACCTTGCGCTTTCGAGGGAGGCAGCAGAACCACTGAGCTAAATCCCAGGCCCTACCTTTCTTTTTCTCTTTAAGAACTTAAGAGACTTAAGTCAAGAACTTTGAATCTTGTCCTCAGTTGCCCATGTTCTTTTATAATCCTGGACGAGTCCTTGACCCTCGACTAACAGATGATAGCTTATATTAGTACTGAAAGGTGAAGCTAGACATCTTTAAGACACTCTTATATAAACCCTGCAGTAGGTTGTTAATACATATTTCTTAATACTCTTAAATGAGTAGGTAAATTCAAAGGATTGAGAGCAAATTTCCAAGTTCAAAAATGTGTAGTGACAGCTGGTCATGGTGGTTCATGCCTGTTGTTCTAGCACTCCAGGAAACTAGCAAGAGAAATCCAAGTTAAAGCGCAGCCTAGAGACACTCAGTCTCAGAAAATCAAAGAGTTAGGAGTGTAGCTCAGTGTGAAGGCCCTGGGTTCGATGCCTAGTACCCCCCCCCCCCGCCCAAAAAAAGCATAGTGAGATTGACTAGAGGGATTTCAAGAATTTGAGTAATAAGGAATGAGACATTTTTATATTCAGTAAATATTAAGTGATTAAAGTTTTAAAGGAAAGAACAAGTAGCCATTGTCACAGATAGATATTTTTTTCTCTGAAGGAAAAAGGGTAAATTGAAATATTTCTTCAGGATCTGGAGGTATGGCTCAGTGGTAGAGTGTATGCATTGTACGTGCAAGGCCCTGGGCTCAGTCCTCAACACCAAGAAAATAAAATAATTGTTGTTTCAGTGCAAATTTTCAAGGTTAAGTTTTTAAATTCATGTTTATTTGTATGTATGCCTTCCTATGAGTATTTTCTTTGGTATACATTTTAAATAATGTCTCATGTTGACTTATTTACTGCTATATTGTAATGGTTTGACCGTATATCTTGGACTATAAATTTTAACTGTTATAATAGTTTGTTCTATTTTTGTTGAACAGGAAAGACAATAATTTATGTCTTACATATGAAGGATTTTATATTTGAAAGTCATCACAATATATATTCTCATGAGATATTCTTTCATAAAAACATATTATCTTCAGTTATAATTTTAAAACCTTTCTTTTTAACATGCACACAGGAAACCTCGACCTGTCTCCCAGTTGGTTGCACAGCAGGTTACTCAGCAGTTTGTGCCCCCTACACAGTCAAAGAAAGAGAAAAAAGATAAAGTAGAAAAAGAAAAAAGTGAAAAGGAAACAACTAGCAAAAAGAACAGTCATAAGAAAACCAGGTAAATTTGAAGATTATTTTATGGTGTTTGTGAAATAATAAAATTAACCACTTAATATTCTTTTTTAACATTGATATACTCATATACACAATGTGAAAGTAAAAGATTTATCTCCTTTATTCTAAAGTGTTATGAAAGCTTCTGATTTTGAAAGGTATATTGGAAAACAAACACAGTGGTCACAAATGTGAGCTTAAATGTGAGGATTTTTTTTTCTTTTTACTAGGTTTTTTAAAGACATTGCCTGTTCTTTTTTTCCCCCCTCATATAGAAGGGCTCTTTGACAGCTAGAACAGTGGTATTGAAAATGCTGCCTGGATATTTGCGTGGGCTTTGACCAGTCACGATGGTCATGGATCTAGTTAGAACAATTGTGATGTCCTTGGAAGTGCCCATCAGTGGAGTAATACCTCACATACAGCTCTCCCTTAACTTTTATCAGCCTCCTCTGCAGTGCAACTCTTTGTTGTCCTAAGTCTACCTTGATAAGATTAATAAGCTCCCTATAAATTATAATATAAATTTATAATATAATTATAAAGCACAATTAAGAGACCACGACTTCCATACTGTCACAGTTTTTTGTGATGTTGATGGTTCATGAATGATTGGTTTGATTAATGCTAATGATTTGAAACATTTAATGATATTTGTGTGGCTAGTTACACATGAATAACTTTAAATACAGATGTATTCATTTTGTTACTTTTGCCTAACTTATTATTTACTATATGGTCATAAATTTGATAGAGGGAAAAGCTAGTTTTAAAAATTCATCATTTTTTGTGTTTAGGCCAAGATTGAAAAATGTGGATCGGAGTAGTGCTCAGCATTTGGAAGTTACCGTTGGAGATCTAACAGTCATTATTACAGACTTTAAGGAAAAAACAAAGTCAACACCTGCATCTAGTGCTGCTTCTGCAGATCAACACAGTCAGAGCAGCTCCAGCTCTGATAACACAGAGAGGGGAGTGTCCAGGTCATCTTCACCCAGAGGAGAAGCCTCATCACTGAATGGAGAATCTCATTAAACTTTATTTTCCTCAGTTTCTAAATCACTTCTGTCCTACCATGCAGATACACAGATTATGCCAAGAAGTACCACATTTTCATGACAAGCATATTTGTGTGCAATCTATAATTTGAGTTTTGCATAAAATTAAAAATTGTTGGAATTTGTTGGATTTTATTGCAGTCTCTGCCTACAAAACATTTCCAGACTTAACATTTTGGCAATTAGATGTCATGAAAATGTGGTTGAATTATTCATATGCAGTGTTATTGGTAAGTCTATTTTCACTTTTAGTTTAGTGAATTCTAACACATAATTCTCTACTATTGGCATGTAATGAATTTAAATTTTTTATAACATACTGCAAGCTGCCTAAATATGTATTATTTGAGAATTGTGAAACAAATAGTTATATGTATACAAGTCAGAGATCAACTTAATCACTATTGCTGCAACAGAATTTTCTTAATGGTTATCCTCTTAAATACACCTGCTGGTACTTGGTGTGGTTAAATAGGAAAGTTGTTATTAAAGAATTTGTATGAATCTTTGCCAATGTTTTTGACATGTTTTACTAAATTATTGTTTCTGAATTATGTTTCTGGTTTTACCCATTTTTTGAGGTTTTTTGTTTGCTTATTTTTCAAAACATTCATGTATTGTAATGTTTATTAGCAGACTAGTAAACAAAGCATTGATTACTTAGCTTTATAATTCAGGTTTAGTGCTATTGTCATTGAACACTGGTTATTTTCTGTATTATATAAAACATTAAAATTCAGATAATTATAAGCATTTGGCAAAAAAAAAAAAAAAGAAAGAAATTTGCCATATTTTAAAAGCTGCAATTTTGGAAAAGCTTTAATTTAATGATAGTTTTATCACTGTTTTCTTGTCTCAAACTTATCCAGGGTCATAGATGTTTGAGTCCATTTAATACAGAAATAGAATTGTTGCACAGAACTGGGAAATAACTAATCCTAAATTAATTTAATTGGCTCCTTATTAAATACAGCAATTGTTATGAAAACCATAGTTCCCTATTTTCACACAACTGCCAATTTATGCATTTATTAATATTCTGAAATAAAAAAGTATTTACAGCCCCACTCACTATTATGTACAATTACCAATAAAATATTTTTATGACTATAGATTTTGCATTTTTGTTTACAAGTAATAAAATGTTTTATGTTATATTTAAAAATCTCAACTTTGAAACCACACAATACTTTAAAAATTCTTCTATGGTCTCCTGCTTTCTGTAACCATTTGCTGAGTATATATCTACTTATGGAGACTTCTAAAATGTAAATCAGCTTGAAAACATAACTTGGATACAAAATATCACATAAAAGATAAGGTAACATTTGAAGAAAACTGTAGACCCTGACAGTTGTGATATTTGGTGGTTTCTCGTGGTAATGTAATTTTCTCTTTAATTTCAGTACTTTTTATAGACATAATGGTACTGTCTTTTGTAAGATGCTAGTTGTGAAATACAGTTAATTGCATACAGTAAAAATCTGTGATTAAAACATTTATATACCTCATTCTTTAGTGTTGTTAAATGAAAAATGAAAATTTGTTTAAGATTATTGAGATACCAACTAACTGGTTATGTTCTTCTAAAACAAGATATTTTGTCTTATCCTTAGTTTTACATATTCATTTTTGAGGAAGTACAAATTAAAAATAATTGTAATAGAAAAATACTGTAGCACTTAAGTAAAAAACTAATGCATTTATGATGATTAGATACTTTCAGGATGCATTTTCAATGAACTACAATAGAGAAAAATCTTGACAGAAGATGGAATTTTACCTAAATAGGACATGCTCATCATTCTGTATAGGTGGAAGATGGTGTACCATGGAGATTAACCCAGTTATTGCAAAGATTCCACTTTTTGGATTTTTGCATGAAATTCATATATGTTACCTAGAAAAATTCAAGGAACAAGAATTTGAAGTGAAAAATTTTTATTATGTTCTATTGTTAGGGGCGTTCCAAAAACGAAACGGTAGGCATTGAAGGGTAAAGAATGCTAGCTGACATCTAGTGTTTGAGTCTCTGTTGTAGTATTTAAATAAGCTTGGGAAATTACTCCATTCTATAAAACCAATGATGATTGTATCTAACTCATGAGGTTGTTGGGAAGATTATATGTCAATCCATATAAGATTCTTAATTATAGTGGACCCTTGATTTATGAACTCGATTGGTTCCCAAGGGCTGGTTGTAACTCAAGTTGATTGTAAGTTAATATACCTGAGATCTGGATGTTTACCTGGGTACACTCTATAGATAACAAGAGGCAGATGAAGTTTCCATTAACCTAATTAACCCAGTTCATATGTCAGGGCAGTCGCAACTTGAGGGTCCACTGTACCTGACAAATACTGGTTGCTTAGTAAATGTGAGTCTTTTTATGGGCTGGTACGTAGCTCCATAGTAAAGTGCTTGCCTAGCACATATGAGGCCCTGGGTTTGATCCTCAGCACAGGGGTTAGGGAGTAAGCTTTATAACTTTAGGTAAAACCCCATTATAAAAATACAAAAATAATTTTTGTAATGAAATCATTTCCATGCTTTCTGCATAACCTAAAGGAATAGTGTTCTAAAAGTTACAGTGAGGGTCAGGGATGTAGCCCAGTGGTGCAGTGCCTGCCTGGCAAGTGCAAGGGCCTGAGTTTGATTCCTGGTACCAAAAAAGAATAAAATGAATTTTCACTGTAACATCAGGTGTTTGCTAGAAATACCATCTTTCCACAATTAACATGATGAATGTAACTATGAGATTGGAGAAATGAGCTAGGTTGCCTGGTTTGAAATTTTGTTTTCCTTTCATTAATCACAATTATCTTCACCTGTCTTCATTTTACTCTACCTCAAATGTACTTTCTCGCCAATAAAATATGCAAATACCATAAGTAACTTACATCTACTGTTAGAGTATGCAAAACAAGTCAGAGCGTGGGGTAGGGTGCATTTTAGCTCTCAATTGTGCTGTGAATTTACAGTGTGGTTTTAGCAGTGGGTCCTTTGGACCAAATTCTATACAAAAACAATTTGAATGTTTTTCAGAGTTTATTATTTTACTTTGATATAAGAAAGAGTGAAGGTATACTTTTGAGGAACACAAGAATACATTCTCTCTTCTTTTTAACCCCAGTACTGGGGATTAAATTTAGGGCCTTCACAGTGAGCTACTAGTGAGAGGGTCTTAGTAAGTTGCCCAAATGGACTCAAACTTTGGATCTTCCTATCTCAGCCTCTCAGAGTGCTGGGACTACAGGCATGTACCACCACATCCAGTTGAAAATGCATACTCTTAAAATTAGTTGTATTACACAGTACAAATAGTTGACTTAATAGCTTAAAGATTTTTAAAAAATTAAATACTTCTTAAAATTATAGTGATAATAGACCAGGTGAAAACATTTTAAAAAGGAAAAGCAGCCTAATTTGATAGCATCTTTATTAACTTTGTTTTAGGTACAAGCTCTTGTTGCCTAAAAGAATGTAGTTTTAATATGTGTTTTATTGGTAAGTACTCTGGAAGTTTAGTTTCCACAGAGGCCCTTATTTTACTTTGTTGGTCTGCAAATTTTCTCTTTTCCAAAATCTTTGAAGGATCTGATACAAGAACTGGTTAAGCTGTTGATAGATGTTTCTGCACTGTACTTTGAAAATTAAGTGACAACAGAAGAGAGTTCAACAGTGGTTTGAGTTTTTTAGCATTCACCCCCTCCCATTCACCATAAGACACCTTCAGTTCCCTGGAACAATAAAGTTAGAAAAATTGACGAGCAGAAAGGCCATCAGTGACACAGTAAAGCTGAGTGGAATCAAAAGACAATAAAAGTGGGCTGGGCATTTAGCTCAGTGGTGCCGCTGCCTGCCTCGAAAGCACAAGGTCCCAAGTTTGATCCCCAGTACCAAAAAAACCCAAAACAATAAAGGTTACAGGACACAGATAAGATTGATCACTTTTTGAAAGTTGCATGAAAAGAATGCCTTCACTGGCTCTTGAGGGTGATGAAAAGTAAGCCCCATTGATATCAAAGGTAAGGAAAGGGCTGGGCATTTAGCTCAGTGCCGCCTGCCTTGCAAGCGCAAAATCCTAAGTTTGATCCCTGGTACCCCCCCAAAAAAATAGGTGAAGAAAGAAAGTAGAAGTAGGTGCGATTGGGATAATAGAATTACTAGGGAGGGAGACAACTGAATTTAACAGCATGACTAGGAAAACAAGCACTTTAAAGATGCACTATGATAAATCATCTTAAGGACTCAGTCATTAGACTTTAATATATTTAATAGACCACCACAACAGCAACATATGTAATACTTCAGAATGATTTTCAGAAGAAGCTGTTACAGTGAAGTTTTCTTTAAATTATACAACTTGCATGATTCTGGTTGCAAACCAAGTTGGACAAAAACAGAATCAAATTCAGTGGTTATACTCAGTGTTGACTGTATGGGGAAATTTGATTTAGTTCTTGTCCAGTTGGGTTTACAGCCAGAATCATGGAGAGAATTGAGTTTGGGAACTGAGGTACCATTGTATACTTTTATGATGCACATCTACACTAGTCTACATCATTTCAATGTTATGTTTTAATGTATTAATTAGGGTTTGTATTTAGCCAGTGCAGATTCTTGACTTTATGGAATGGGGCAATTATGAAGCATGTGAAGTACTACGATAAGACCAGATACTTCAATGAAAGAAACTAATCAGACCCCTGGAAGGTTTCAGTTCTCTGGGACAGGTTTTACATTCTGAACCTTTTTCCCCCGTAAGTGGGAGTTATAGGCTAGTTTACTATTATAATACTTCAGTATTTCTCTGATCTAGGCTTTCTGTACATCAGTATTACTTAATTCAGTGAACATTTATTGATTATATTTTGGGTGCTAGGCCCTGTACTATGGCTTGGTTACAAAGACAAGTGGAAATCACATCTTAGAGATCTGTAAATAATTATAGTGCTATCACTGCTATAATAAAAATATATATAAGATACAAAAATAGAGGAGAGTGTTACCTTTTTTTCTCTAGAAAATTTACCTGTGCCTAAGTATCCACTGCAAGTCCACACTGAAAGTGTTAGGACCTTATTTTGATGTTTGCAGCTGATAATGTATAACCAACGGTTTTAGCCAGCAGCTATCTTATTACTCCAATTTGAATTTCCAAAGTTGAAGATTTTAAGCCATGTAGTTTGAGATAACTCATGATTTTCCTCCAGTTTTTAAAATCAAACAGCTGGGCATGGTGATGTACACTTGTAATCACCTCTACTTGCAAAGCTGAGGCAAGAGGATCTCAAGTTTGAGGCCATTCTAGGCAATTTAACAAGACCCTCTCTCCAAAGTAAAATTTAAGGGCTGGGGAGGTAGCTCAGTAGTAGAGTGCTTATCTAGTAGCATACATGAGGCCCTGAGTTCATTCCCTAATGTAAAACACCTAAAACCAAAGCAAGACAGAAACAACAAAACACCAGCTCAATGAGGTCTGCTGTTTGCTTTTTGTAAAGATGTTGAAGAAACATGTCACTCTGTCCAAATGAGAAATCTTACTCAGAACTTTTTCAAGAAAAGCTTATCTAAGAAATTTGCCCTTTCCTTATAGACAATGCAGTTCATTCATTGTCCTCAGTTTTTGCTGTAATTGCAAGAAATCTCAGACTAAAATTGTGCTCAATTTTAATTTATGTAGGATTCAAAAACCTGCAAATTTTTGTGACCTATAATTTTCCAAATTTTGACACCATTTTCTTTTCTTAAAAACTGCCTTGGGGCTAGTGATTTAGCTCATTGGTGCCGCACCTGCCTCGCAAGCGCAAGGTCCTCAGTTCGATCCCCAGTGGGGATCAGGAGACGGGGGACAGGACTGCCTTGACTCCTGTGTAAATAAGGCTAAGTAGTAATAATTTCTTAAAATGGCTTTATTTCAAGGTGTGACAATAAGCTCAAAGGGAAATTTGGGAGGCATGGATCCTGTGAATTTATGTGTCCCAACAGGAATTCCTAAGGCATGGAAGTGGTGTGCGTGAATCCTGTAGGTCCTGAGGTTGCAACTGCCTCCCTGCCTGGAGGAGGGGAATATGGATGAAAGGTACCACCTTAATATGTTTTTGTGAACTCTTTTAGCAAGAAAACTGGGAACCTAGGTGGATTATACTTCATGTCTGTTACTTTCATTCTCTCAATAATAAAATGACAGCAACAATGAAGTGGTTCTATGTCTATCTACATTTGGAGTAAGCAGGAGCTGGGTGATGGTACAACTAGCTTGGGAGAAGAGAACTAATGGACCAAAAAAACAGCAACAAAAAAAGTGAATATGTTTTTAAAAAAGGAAATAGGCTGAGTTCCTTAGATCCAAGACGTGATTTTTGGTCTTTAAAGGGAGAAAGTAAAAATACATGTTTCTAGCACAGAGATAAAAGTTTAAGGGACACTTAACTAGAAAAGAGCAAAAAAATAATTTTTTATTAAAGTACAGAAATGCAAAAATAAGCCAGATATAACATAGGACTGCCTAGGGATGTACCCTCTGTATAGAAAGGCAGGTGATATGTCAATAGGAATCTGAATTCAGTTTTCAGCTAAGCATGGGGCTTCAGAAGTGTCGGGGTATGGTTATTCTTGATTATTCTCACCCTTCAGTTTTAAGGAACATGGGTCGTTAGCCTGTTTAATAGATTCTTAATATTGTAATTATGAGTCTTGATTGATGACAGTTTTGGAGTTTGGGTATTTTAGTTGAAATTTAAAAAAAAAGCACAGGCTGAAGGATGTAGCTCTATGGGATACTGCTTGCCTAGTGTGCACAAGCCTGGGTTTGATCCCCAGCAGGGACAGGAAAGGATGACAGTCTATTCCTGGGACTGGAAGGTTCCTGACGATTGTACCAGAGAGAAATGTGAGATGTCCATAGGATACTCCTTGTTCCTACCCCATTGGCTCCCTCTCTCCCTCCTGTGTACCTGGAAATGTCAGCTTTGTCCTCAGGTCATAGAGTAATACCACATGTCCCATCTCATGGTTCTCCACTGCCTCTCTTTTGTGATCTCCAGGCCTATAGGTACTCTTACTCTTTTATTCTACTCCTGACCCTACTCTTTTTTTACCATATTTACTGGTCATACTTTTTTTAAAAAAACTAATACTAATAAACTAATAACTTTACTTTCCAACTTTTCCTCCAGTCCAACAAGATCTCTAGGAAAAAACCGGGGAAATATACTTACTATAAACCAAAAAGAGCTGAGGATAAATTTTCTTTAATCTGAGTTTCTGGTTGTGTTCTGCAGCTAATCTGACTCTTCTTTGAAAATGTGTTACAATTCCCAGGACCAGTCTATGAGATTTTCATATATTATTTAGTTCCTTTCTGTTTTCACTTCTCAGTAGAATCACTGAATGTAGTATTTATTTGTTCATAGTATGAGATAAGATGGAATAATGTAAAAAACAACATGCATTTTGGATCATCAAAGATTTCTACTCAAATTATGGATCTTCATTACTAACCACATGGTTAAGGAGTGTCTCTGAATTTCAGGTTGTATTTTATAAGAATAGCATAACAGGCCGGGGATTTAGCTCAGTGGTTTCGCCGCCTGCTGTGTAAGCGCAAGGACCCGAGTTCGATCCCCGGTACCAAAAAAAAAAAAAAGAATAGCATAATATCTCTTCCTAGGAACGTAAATGGAAATTATTACGAATGTTAAGTGGAAATTACATCAAAAAAGAACTTTAAAAGGTGTAGAATGCAATTTTTTTTCTAAAGAATATCTTAAAAAAAATCAAGGTCTCATAGAAATGGGAAGGATGTGCTCACTAGGACCTTAAACCTATTGTAGAATGATTTGTTTTTGCTTTTGTTTTTTTAAGTTTGTTTTTGAAACAGGGTCTCAATATGTAGTATAGGCTGGCCTTGGATTCACTGTGTAGCCCAGGCTGGCCTCAAACTCAGTGATCCTCTTGCCTCAGCCTCCTGAGTGCTGATATTACAGGCATGCGCCAGCACACTTGGCTCTGTGGAATGATTTAGAGTTACTAAAAAAGAAATGAAAAGAAAATCCCCACTAGTTGAATGCCCATATATATCCAACATGTAATAGGAGCACCCAAAAAATAAAAAGCAAAATTAATCTTTCAAATATAAGTCTTGAGATTTGGTTCAGTCCTGAATCAGAGATTTTTCTAAATTGTGTAGATCTGTCTACTTTAAACAACAAATATAAATTTCTTTTTCTTCACTTAAATTTATCTTTTTGATGAAATGAAGAAAGATCAACATGAATTAAAAATTTTACATGGCCTGGCTATCAGAATTAAGAGTCTAGCCAGGGATTTAGCTCAGTGGCACCGCACCTGCCTTCCAAGTGCAAGGTCCTGAGTTCAATCCCCGGTACCAAAAAACAAATCAAGAGAGTCTAGAGATGAAAGATACGTTTAGGAATACAGATATATAGTGAATGAAAAAGATCCCTATGTGACATCAAAATATTTTAGGTAATATTCAATAACTTTAATGCAATATGGGAATCCTGGAAATGACCAGGGGATGCCAGCATGCGCACACTTCATGCTTCAAGATAACCAGTTAACTGTGTGGGGAATGTAATAACTGCCTCAATTTTTAGAATGCCTTATGGACTTCTTCAACAGATTTTTTTTTGAAATTACAGGATTAAAGGAATGATAAAGTCCAGAATCCTGATAGCAAGGAAACGAATGATTATTCCAGATAATGCTCTTTCTATAAATGGTTGCAGAAATGAAAAGTTCCTGGCCTCCCTTTGTGCCATTCTAATATATTAACAATCTGTGGGTCAAGTAGTTATTTTTACTGCAAGTAGTTTCTTTGTTGGAATAGAAAAGTTATAGTATCTTTTAAATTAAACATTCTTTAGTACTAGCTTTTACTCTTGATACCATGTCTTTTAACTTTCTCTCCAAAGCTATTTTCCATTCTTATCGATGCTTTCATCATCATTCTCTGTACTTTAAGTTTACCTTCATTTCTCTAAGAATTGTAAGGTGTAGTGGAAAGATTAATTTAGTCTTCTTTCGGTTTTTACTGTCCTGTTTCCCCTTGAGAGCAGTACACTCCTTAATTTCTGAATACTGTGCATCACAGCCCCTTGCCTGGCATGTACAAAATACTCAATAAATGTTTACTGAGTCAACAAATGTATGTTTTCATTCTCTCTACCCAACTTGATGGCATGCTGGTTTTTATTTTTGTCAGGTAAGGCAAGAAATCTAATTCTTATGGGGGATGAAACCGAAGCTTACATTTGTTTAGTGACTTCCCACCCTCACAGCACTTTTTGGTTTAGGAATTCAGTCCCACTACTGTGTATTTCCTGACCAAACTTTACAAGCCCAGTTACATTGTAAATGATTTAACAGCATGATTTTTCTCCGAGAAAGCCTCACGTTTTGGCCTTGGAGCTGCCTTCTCTTAATCTCATCTCTGTTCCAGCTAGCACTGCAGCCAAGAAATGCTCTCTAAAATGCAAACGTGGTCATGTAACTTTCCTACTTAAAAACCCTGCAGTGGTTTACCAGTGTCTAGCAGATGAAGTTCAAACTCCTCGGTCTGCTAAGCAAGGCACTCAAATACCTGGCCCGTCTACTGCAGTCTTAACGCTCATTTCCGCTCTCGCATTCTCTTGGCTGGTGGTAGCAAACTTCTCACAGTTCCCTGTACACAAGAGCCTGTTTATTTTTCCCTCAGCCTAGAATTACTTCCCAGACCTCCCGCAGGACTGTGGGGCCGCCTTCCTGGACCATACTCCCAGGTAGAACCGAAGGCACCTTTGGGCGTGTGCCCGCGTCCTTGGGTCCTGAGTTTCTTGTGTCTCCGGGTTGCACTCGAAAGTATCCACGTTCCACGCACATCCGGCTTGCATTGTACCCAAAGTACTACACCGCTTGGTGCTCTGTGATGCTCCACAAATGGTCAATGGACGGGGTGGGCGAGGAGAACAAATTCTCTTTGGGGAGAATACTAATTTTATTTTGGATATGCAAACGCTGAGTTGTAAGAAAGTCCAGCAGAAGGGTGGACTTGTCTGACAGGCACCTGCAGCCTGCGGGAGCGAGGCGGGCACCGAAGCTGTGGCCGGGGCTCGGTCACGAGCTGTGCGGTGGGGAGGCCCCGCGGGCCACACTCTCGAGGCCCAGGACGCCAGCCGGGCCGGGGCGTACAAAGGCTTCTTCGAGAACCTTCCGGCGGGGAGCGTTTTTCCCGCGCGCTACATTTCATCCTTACTGTCACCCCATGCTGAGGACGGGACCATGACAATGTCTCCATTTTAGAGAGGAAGGAACACGCTCCGAAGCGTTAGTTATTAGTGAGCCGAGCTACCATGCGGAAGATCCGTGTTAGATACTAGGTCAGACCGCGCTCCCACGTTCCCCCCACCCCCATCTCAGCGCCCTCGGGGAGCCCGGCACCGCCCAGGGGCCCAGGCTTGGCCTCTTGGCTTCCGGGATCCCTGGCGGGGCGGGCGCGCTCCCTGGCGGGGCGGGCGCGCGGCGGTGGCGGCGCAGGAACTTGTTGCGCGCGGGTGCGCGCTGCCGCTCCCAGTGCTTCAGTTCGCCCGGGCGGGCGCGGCGAAGGTGAAGGCGGCGGCGGCGGCGGCGGCGACGCGGAGCCGCGGGGCCGCGGGGCCGCGGCAATGCGGCGCTACTTGCGCGTCTTGATCCTGTGTCTGGCCTGCGGCTTCTGCTCGCTTCTCTACGCCATCAGCCAGCTCGCTGTGTCCCTGGAGGAAGGCGCGGCCGGCGGGGGCGGGAAGCCGCAGGCCGCAGTGGCTTCCTGGCTGGCGGCCAGCGGACGCGGCGCCGAGAGAGGCGCGGGCCCCGCGTCAGGCGCCGGGCTCTTGGATAGGTACGGGGCATGGGCGGTGGGTGCGGGGCTCCGGGTTCCGGCGCGGCCTGGCCCCTGCGTTCCGCGCCGCGTTGCGCCGCGTGTCCGGCCCCACGCGCCTTCCCCTGCTTCCGAGCGGCCCGGCGAGCCGGCGCTACTGCGCCTCACCGCGCCGACAGCGCTCAGTTCGCTGCCCGACCCCGTCTGCGCGCGCTGCGTAGAGCAGTTAGGAATAGGAATTTATTTGTAGCTTTTAAAAAATGTTCGTTGGAAACAAGCCGTGCCCAGAAACCTCCGTGCTGTCTGGCAGTGGGAAGTCCCTCCTGTACCTCCGGTTTCCCTGTACTCCAAGTTGAGATCCGGGCCTCGGGCGGGCCGGTTCCTCTTCCCCGCCCCCCCCGCCGGGCCTCTGCGTGTTAACACAGTTCTCAGTGATAGCTGGGTTAGTGAAATCTGGACATGGCATTTTTGCAGGCTGTGAATTTTTCTTTTGGAAACAGTTTATTTCAAAACTTACAGGAAGTTGAAAAAAAGGAGCGGTGCTTAGCATGCTCAAGTCTTTTGTGGGATGGAATGAAGGTATCTTTATTGACAATTAGATATGAAGCAGTACAGGTGATGGGTTTGCACAAATCACTGCCAGAGTTGGAATCAACAGATTTAAGTGGAGAAAATGCTTTGGCAACGGTAGATGGGCACCCTTGACTGTGAGCAGCCCCTGGGAACGACCAACCTGCAAATGCTTTTGATCGAGGAAGATACAAGATTGGTTGGAGGAGGCAGTTGCCACACCAACTGTAAGCTGTTGTTTAGCATTTTGGAGTCGGTGATCATTTCCAGAATCAAAAGTGGACATTTGGGCAGAGGAACAGCTTGGAAAATTTGAATTATGTTTTCTATCAGTCAGACAAGTTCCTAGGATATCAAGACTTTAAATTCATAAAAGGAGAATTAGTTCCAGAGACAGATCTCTCAGCCCTTAGTTATCTGTCCCAGGTGAGGCAGTGACTCATGCAAAGTGATAGATGGAAACGAAATTGTTTCTAATTTCCTACATTATTGTGAAGTCTTTAAAGTTGTGGAAAAGGAATTATTTTTATAATGGACAGAATTGTTAGAAAGCAACACTTTAAACATTGAAAGTAGACTTTGATATTAACATTTGGATTTGCTAGATAGCATGCATTTGCAGTGTGTTGTTTCAGACATTTTGTGATGCCTTTGAATAAATTTGCTTGGCTAGCTAATTCTAACAAGATTACATCGCTTGAAATTTAGAAAATAGGAGCCTCAGTTTAAAAAAATATTTAATAGGGCTGGGGATTTAGCTCAGTGGTTCCAGCACCTGCTGCGCAAGCGGAAGGTCCCGAGTTCGATCCCTGGTACCAAAAAAAAAAAAAAAAGCTAAAAAAATATTTAATAGAACTAAGAGATGTGTCAGCGTTGAATCATCTGAAATGCTGTACTTTTATAGGTGGTCTAAATAGCATACTTCTCATTTTAAGTGCACATCTAAGTTAAATCTAAAGGTTTTTTTTGTAAAAAAAGTAGTGAAGAGTGTGGTAACAAGTCTTGTGGGATGAAATGGAGACAACATGGAGAAGCTGGATTGTCAAATTTTTACTGTATAGTATGGTTAGTCAAGCAAATTCCTAAAACATCAGAACTCTTATTTTGTGCTGCTGGGAACTGAACACTAGGTTTTGAGGATGATAGACAAGTGCTGTACCACTGAGCTACATGTTCAGTCCCAAGACTTTATTGTAGATGTCACCACTTACGAAGCCAGCAGTGATGGTGGATCCCTAAAATGGTTGTAATCCCCGCAATGAAGAGCCTGAGGCAGTTTCTCTGAGATTTCAAGGTCAGTCTGAGCCACCTGAGTTCAAGGTCAGCCTGAATTGCATAGTGAGACTTTGTTTCGAAAAAGAACAAAACAAAAACAAAAGATGTGGCAGCCGACGGCATCGTTCTGGAAATCTTTTTTTGGCTACCATGGAACATAGAGTAGGGTATCTTTAACCTCTCTTTGTAGGTATAAATCATTTGGTCAGGGTTCAGAGGGCAGCCGTAATTGGACTAGGATTAGAAATAATCGTTTGGTGTACACATGCTCCTTAGATAAAGAAAGAAAAGAGTCTAGGATGCAGTAGGGAATGGGACTGTGAGGCAGACCAACGTTTTCCACTTTACTGTAGGACTCTAGTATCATTGCAGTCTTGCTTTTTTGGATATTCTCCTACCTGAAAGATTAGAATTACTATTTTTCTTTCATTTAAAAACATGGGGTTTAGGTTTATAGCCAATAGGGCAAATCTTACAGAATAAGTCTTCATTGAACATAATTGTTGGAAAGAGCCTTCCACCTCCTTGAAATAAGCACTTTAACATGATAGGAGCAGTTTTGTCCCTTCTCAATTAGTGCATTCAGTTTGAAACCACCATTTTAGTTATCAGAAAATGTGTAGGTCTTAGAATGTGTCCTCATTCTAGCTCTTGTTGAAATGAGACCTTGACCACATCATTTCACTTCTGTATTCATTGATCTCCCCACCTGTCAAATGTAGAAAACTTACTGTACGTAATTTTTTGGCTATATTGGGGTATAATTGACAAATAAAATTGTATATATTTAAGGTATACCATTGGATGTGTTGTCATACATTGTGAAATGATCAGTACAGCCAAGTTATTTCACATATCCATCACTGCATATAGTTACGTGTGTGTTGAGAACACTTAAGATTTACCATCTTTGCAGATTTCAAGTATATAGTAGTATAGTGTTAACTGAAGTCATTATGCTGTGCTTAATTTGATTTATCTTAATTTGTAATAGAATTTTTAGTTGTCATTGACTAAAATCCAGTAAAACTGTCTTAAGCAAATTGGATATTTATAGGCTTATATTGGTTCTGGAAGGAGCAGAATTGACGGAAAAACTGCAGATACCAGGACAGCTCTAGGGGCCTTAAAGACTAGACAGACGCTTATTCCTCACTGCAGACAAATTCTGTTCATGGAGTCCTCTGTTCTTTCCATTCTTGGGCTCACGCTCAGTCAGTGGACCAGACCTCTGGTCTGCTAGATCTGGGCTTCTTGCAGGTCTCTGGAGACAGAATAACACAGTTGGTCTTGGAGAACAGTGGTGCTTTGAGAGGGGCCAGGGCGCTGGGTTGGCAGTGGCTCTTTAGGTAAAGAGACTCATAAGCTATTTGGTATGGACAGGCTGTAAAGGTATCACTAGAAAGAAGTTGTTAGTACCAGGCATCATACTTCTGCAGAAGGAGTGCACTCACTTTAGCCACTCAGGGGTGATTAAATTCTCCTGCTTCATTGATGGATCTTGACAGTGATTATCCAGATTTCATCCTGTTGTGACTGTTTAGCAGCAGTGGTAGTAGGAAGTCAAGAAACCACTGATTGCCTCAGTGATAGTATTTCTTTACTGGGGAGGGGTTCTGGGGATTGAACCCAGGGATTTATACATGTGAGGCCAGCGCTCTATCAGTGATACTATTTCTGAACGCATTCTGCCCTTTGTATGACTTATGGTCACACAGGGAAGTGGTCACCTCACTCCTTTTTCAGATCTGATTAGACTGCATAGGATAGTGAACTATGAAGAAAGTTGAATTACTTCCTAGAGACTCCTTAATCTCTGCTGGGCACCTCTTATTTTCATTATTGGGGGGAATCTACGTCACACATTTGAAAAGTGCTATTTAGTGACAAAACAGTGTAGATTGGGTAGTAAATAAACGACAGAAACTTAACCCTCACAGTTGAGGAGGATGGAAATCCATGATTAGGGCCCCAGCAGATTGGGTGTCTGCCGAGGGCCCATTTTCTGGTTCATAGATGGTGCCTTCTTACTGTGTTCTCATGGTGTTTCATGAGGGCAGTGACCTGGCTTTGTCTTCATGACCTACTTCACCTACAAAGCCCCCACCTGACACTGTCAGGTTGGTTATTGGGTTTTAACACATGAAGTTGGGAGCACAGACATTCAGACCACAGCAAGTACTTGCACAGACCTGACATAGTATTTAGTACGTGTGAGTAGTTAAAATGATATTCTTTGTTTTTGAAGAGGAAGCTCATTTGGCCAACCAAAAAGTATGTACTTTTGATTTAGAAATCTTATTTTTTAAATAATAAGATAATTATGTGTCATACCTGCTGAAATGCTTCCCCTGCATATTCACTTAAATTTTATTCATAATGTGTATACCATAATGAAGTTTAAAATTTTTGTTTGCAGATTAGCCCTTTATTGTATTTCTTTTTATTGTGCATAAGAATTTCTACCAGAGCTTTTTTTGAACATTTAAATCTTTAGCTGGGGATGGTGGCGCACACCTGTAATCTCAGCACTCGAGAGGATTGCCATGAGTTCGAGGCCAGCCTCGGCTCCGTAGTGAGTTTGAGACCTCTGTGTAACATACCTTCCCTTACCCCCAGGTTGGCCTTGAATTCATGGACTTAAATGGTCCTCCTGCCTAGCCTTCTGAGTAGCTGGGACCACAAATGCAGTTGTGGGCCACTGTGCCTGACTTTTCTTTATTGTGTTGTTTGTTTTGGCAGTACTGGGGATTGAACCCAGGGCCTTTATCCTGAGCCACACTTCCCAATCCTTATTTAAAATTTTTAATTTTTTGATACGGTACTGCCGAGTTACCCAGGCTGTTTTCAAACTTAAGATCCTCCTGTCTGAGCCTCTCAGAATGCGGGGATTTACAGGCAGGGCTGTACTACCATGCCTGACTTGCACCTGGTTTTATACTTTTAAATCCAGATCATGGAATGTCTCAGATTCTGAAACATTTTCAAGTACTAAAATTATTTTTGATTATTTTTGATTGGAGATTATTTTTGATCAGATTACCCTTAGAAACTATATTTTGAAATAAGTATAAATTCACAGGAAAATGTAGATACCTCTTACATCCCTCGCTTGGTTTCCCCAGTAGTCACAGCTTACAGGACCAGCGTGCAACGTGACTGAATCAGTGTATCAC